AAACCCTAAACCCCTTAATCCCTAACATGAACCTCAAGCCTCTGGCTTGGGCGCGCGCACAGCCGCTGTGTGGCTTCCGAGAATGGAGCTTTCGTCATACGGGCGGCATGGCAAGAAGAATGCTTAGGGTTTAGGGTTTAGGGACGTCCTTTAAGAGTTCCGTTAAGGGATCTATACTAGAAGCGCTAAACGAAAGATTTAGAGTTGAGAGGTTTTAGATTCTTTCAAAGGTCCTTTGCGGGATCGATAAGGGTTTCTGTAAGGGTCCCGTGTTCGAATTTGGGGTTTAGTTGTTTAGGGGCTTTTCGTGGCGGTAGTAATTCTGGGTTCCGGGTATGAACGACAAACGACTTTAGGGTTTAGGGTTCAGGGATGAAACGAAATCAGGGTTTATGTAGAGTGGATCTTAGGCTGTCGGGCTTGTCTCGGCTGCTGGGAAAAATCTTTGCGTTCTCCAACACTGTGGTTCTGAGAAGCAGGGTATAATTAAGTTCATTAGGCCAAGATGACTTGGATGCTGCTAGTTTGTTATGCCTCTGCTGAACTGCATTCAGCATATGCAAGAGTACCAACAAAGTATGAGATGCTCATATATCTGTACTGTGCTCTCAAACCCTGTTCCAAATATTAGGTCCCTAAGTTAAACCCGCATAAGCCCCTTCGGAAGTAAGGAGTATACCTTAGATTCTCCAGGAACGTCCATATTCTCATTTCAGATAGATTCCTAAATCAGGGAATATTCCTATATTCTAGGGGGATCCATACTGTGGCTTCAGATAGACTAGTTGATCAAGGGATATGCCTTAGATTAGAGGGGGATCCATTTCACGATTCAAGGTAGATTCCTTCAACGATTCCCAAACCTCGAAAATTGTTAAAAGCATCACCTTAGTCCTTAATAAATCTATAGGAGACTATACCCCAAAACCCTATTCTAGTCGTTAAGACCCCTATACCAAAACCCTCTAAAGCCATATTACAGAACAATCCGCTTTAGACCCCTGTTGAAGCACCCTTTCAAGGAACCCATTCCAATCTAATTTTGAAGGCCCGTAAACCCTACTTGGAGGTTCATGGGTAGTTATAAGTAGGGCTGTAAGTAGGGTAACTATAGCTATAACCTGTATTAGGGGACTTATAACTCCACTTAGAGCTACCCATGAACCTCCAAGTATGACCCCTTATAGACCCCTTATAGGACCCCTTGTAGAACCCCCTTATAGATCCCTTAAAGGAGCCTTATAACTACCCATGAACCTCCAAGTACACCCAGCCCAGAACCCTAGTTTCCTTGTGAATCCGCCTTGCTGAAGCTGAGCCCCGGCTATACTGAAGAGACATGGACAGCCTGGCAAAGCACTTCTGGTGTCTCAGGCGCTAGCTTTTCTGGTGTTGGGTTTAGGGTTTAGGGTTTAGGGTTTTAGGATTGAGGGTTTTAGGGTTTAGGGTTTAGGGATCTGCAGAGGCAAAGTATCGATCTTCCCATATTGATCTCCACCGGCTGGGGCCCGCAGCTTCCCAGTTGAACGTAGTGCCACACGGAGCCGCCATGATGCGCGGTGTCCTGCTGGCTGCAGCCGCGAGCTCAGCGTACTCAGGATTGCGAGGGAGGGGAGCGATGAAGCAGGGCCTGTCCGACTTTAAAAGAATAGGGGGCCTTATACAATTGCCTATAGTATAATTATAGTATAATGGGCCCTACTTTAAAGGAATAGGGGCCTTATACAATTACCTATAGTATAATTATAGTATAATGGGCCCCACTTTAAAGGAATAGGGGCCTTATACAATTACCTATACTATAGTTTTAGTATAATGGGCCCCAAAACCCTATTCTAATTACTAAGGCCCCTACGCCTATGTTGAACATTCTTAAGTAGGGTTATAAGCAGGGCCTAGGGTAGCTATGCTTATAGGTATTTACTATTCATATCAGGGTACTTTGTTAACCTTACTTACACGGTCCACGATCCTTTAAGTAGGTGCCACCGCGTACTCCGGACCAGTTTCGAAGTTTAAAGCTTAAGGGCTTTAGTGCTTTTTGAGGATTGGTTTTAGGGCTTGAAGGCCTGAGGAAGCCTACACCAACACCCTAATTGGTCTTGCAGGGTGAGCATGTGGGCCGAATCTTGAGGACTCTTGAGGCAGGGTTTTCGCTTGAAAATAGTTGTCCCGGTCCACAAATCGCCATAAGGTTATCTCCTTCTTTGGGATTGTATTGAGATTGGTTCTCTCGGCAAAGAGAAACGTCCCGCTTGGTAAGACCCAGAAGAGCCTAAGAGAAGTCGGGTCAAAATATGTAAACCCCCTCACAAAGCCATTTTCATACAATCGCTTAAAGGACGGATATTAACGACGGCCGATTACCGGCCGCTAAGAAAGTCTTCAAAGTACCCTTTAAAGGGACGTTTTGAACAAACCCTGCATCCGTAGAAAACACCAGAAAAAACGCAGAAAACTCGACAACGCTCTATAAGCTCCTTTCGTACTCCCTTCCTAAGAGCTCCTTTCAGCAGGTCTTTGTCTCCGTGGCCGCGCGGGGTGTGGACTACGCCGCAGAGGCAGCTTTTTTGGTATCGACTCATGGTCTCCTCTGCTTTTGCCTAAAAAAGGGACCTTCATATTCAGGGTTTAGGGCTTAGGGCTACTATATGGATTCCATAATGTAGGGGCCTTAACAATCAGAGTCGGTTTTTGGGGGTATATTATACTATACTTACAATAAGGAGCCCCCGAAATAAGCACCTATACTATTTCGGGGGCTCCGTATTATAAGTATAGTATAATATACCCCCCAAAAACCCCCTGCTCTAGTTATTAAGGGGCCCCTACTCTACGAGCTACAGGGTTTGGGGTTTAGGGGACTCATAGGTTCTGATTGCGGTTATCATCCTACAGTAGCAATATCGACAATAGCCGCAATAATTGTAGAAAATAGTGTATACTGATAAGAGTCATCTTCATACTTAGGGATAGGGGCTTCATAGGTTCTACTGTTTTTTGTTCGTCGGCAGAGTGGACTGAGAGGTTCCTTTTGGGGTTCTTTCGGTTTTAGGTTTGGGGTGTAGTAAACCCTAAACCCAAAACCCTAAACCGTAACCCTAAACCCTAAACCGTAATTCTGGGTTCCTTTCTTGAGGTTGACGCTTGGCTGAGCTGCATGGTGCGGCCGTTCACGGGTTCCTTTTGGGTGTTTACGGTTTCGTTCGTGCCACATTCGGGTTGTACCACGTTGTCATGAGTTAGTAGAACTACAGTTCGGGAACTCTTCTTGGAACTAATAGGGGGCCTAAATAACTACCTATACTATTTTGGGAGTTCCTTATCATAAGTATAGTATAATTTTGCCCCCACGAGTAAGGCCGCTACATTATCTACAGTTCTGGAATTGCTCTTACCAAGGGCCCCAAGCCACGATCAGAATGAGCTTTTGAGGCCTAATATAGGGACCTTGATAAGTAGAATAGGGTTTGGGGGTATATTTTACCGTAGAATAGGGTTTTGGGGTATATTTTACTATGGAATAGGGTTTTGGGGTATACTTTGCTACATTTATAACAGTTTAGGCCCCTGCATTACTTCCGTCATTCTCGTATCCTTGGGGTTCAGTATGCTCGCGGTGGCCCTAGCAACGGAGGACCCGGTCGTCCTTCGTTTACTACATGCTTCACGGAGGCCAGCAGAAAGGCAGCTATACACCTGCGATGCATTATGTAGAATGCGGTACTAAGAGCTCATCTAGCCCCTTGATGGTACAATAGACGAGGCGGTAAATAAACGGATGCAGGCCGATAACGCCCAACACAGCCCTACATGAAGCCATCCAGAAACGCTTGTAACAAGCCCTATGAAATACAAGAGAGTCGTGTCAAAAGCCCTTCATTAAAACCCCATTCTGGCACAAATACGACCCTTTTCACTCCACCAAAACCATGGGAAACACATTGCAACACCCTATACAAGCCTACAAAGCCCTATACCCCATGAACTGAATTGAAACCCTAAACCTTCATCCCTGTGACTATTGGAAACCTAGACCCTAAACCCTAAACTTCCTAGCAACCCAAGCTCAATCAGCAGGCCGAGGAAGCCGCCAAAGAGGCGGCGGGGGATGAAGTGTACCTTTACGGCTTCGAGCTTCGAGTTTGTCGTTTTAAGTTTTTGGCGTTCGGTGTGGTGTAGTGTGTTTAAGGATTTTGGGGTGGTGCTTTGAAGTCGTTCTAGGGTGCTCTTGCTGCTTTTTTGTCAGGGCTCGGTAGGGTCGTTTGCAGGAATTTGGTTGAAGCTACAGAGGGCTCCTTGATATGGTGGATGGTAGATTCCTCGGTTCAGGGTGTTGGAATCTTGCGGGGTGCGGCTGTTGTTGTTTATTGCATTTCAATAGGCTTTTCTGCCAGGGCTTGTTTGGTCTAGGACCTAGGACCAGGAAGATGCATTCCCTTGAAGCCAAGGCGGAGGGTGTAGGATTCCGGGTTTAGGGTTCAGGGTTCTTAGACTGGTTTTTTCTTTTACCCTAAACCCTAAACCTTAAACCCTAAAAAAACCTAAACCCTAAACCCTACCTGAAGGATCGGGAGACCAAGTAAGGGGGTAGAGTTCTACTCTTAGCTGCTTTCTAGTTGAAATTCAGCGGCGCGTGCCCAGTTAAACGGGGGTTGTAGGTACGGCGACGAGAGTTCAAGTTATCCGTAGCCCCAACTCTTGAAGAGATTAGTGTACTTGGAGGTTCAATGGTTGTTATAAGCGGAGTTATAAGTCCCCTAATCTACTGTAGGTTATAACTATAGTTACCCTACTTCTAACCCTGCTTATAGCTACCGATGAAGCTCCAAGTAGCCCCAATTCTTCAAGAGTTTAGTCTAGTGTATGGCTCTGGGAGTGCGTTTAGGTAGCAGCGTGCAGGGCTCTGAGAAGGGCTTTGTAAGGTGTTTTATAGCACATGACCAGGATATTCTAGCAGAACGCTTATGGATTTAGGCCTTCGGGGTTGAGAGTTTAGGGCTCAGGGGTTGAGAGTTGAGGGTTTTTAAGTTTTGGAACGGAGTATGAGCAAGATTTATGCGCCCTTAGCTACACCGTGGCCAAAGAGCGTGGTGCTGGGGTCCACGTAGCCGACCGCTGCTGACTGATGTAGCAGTGTTTAGGGTTTACGACCCTTAATGGGAGTTAGGATTAGGGGGACCCTTGGGGATATAGACCCTCTCAATAAGGTCCCTTTTAAGAGAGCCAAAAGTAGGGTTCAGAAGGGGTACCCCTAATAATACTACCTAAACAACAAACTCTGAATCCTAGACAGAATCAGAAAGGTCAGACCCTTAAGTATGAACGAACCCCGAAACCGGACACCCCTGAAACCCGCCCTACTTCGTTTACTCTCCTCAAACTCCAAGACAGGCCTGGAAGCATGCGAAGGACTTGGCGAAATCCTCCAAGGACACAAAGGGTCGCGCAGTAGAATGTGTAGTGTAGAGGCCTTGATAATTACCTACACTATTTTGGGGGCTTCCTTATTGTGCTGATAGTATACTATACCCCAAAACCCTATTCTAATCATGACGGCCCCTACTTTAGTGCAGAAGTGTGAGTTTTGGTAAGGTTCGGGGGTTCCTCCACCCACCAAACACGAAGCATACACGAGAGACATCCTGCCGTGGACACTCCTTTTGATGCAACCATGCTCATACAGTTCCCCAGAGAACCCAATACCCCTTAATTAAGGAATGTACCGTAAATCATAATATTCAGGCCCCTATAAGTTAAGGTATATTCCTCAATTAAGGGGTATTGGGTTCTCCGGGTCTTTCTTGGGAGACAAACCGGCACTGCTGTGAAGCTGTCGGGTGATATGCCTAGTATAGGGCCCTTGATAGTTCGACTGGACTTTGGGGGGGGAGGGGGTATATCACATGAACATTCACAGCACTTTGGCTTATGGCTCCACAATGTAACCTACCACTCGTTAAAAAAAATCGTATGGCCCCTATACTACCCGAACTACTATCTCCAGCTCCGGCCCACGTTTCAGCTTGAAATTTAAGTGTGTGTGTGTGTGTGCCCTACAGTTTCAGGTTTGAAGGTCAAGGCCGACTGTTTTGTAGGGTTTGGGTCGACATGTAAATCCTTAGCACGAAAACCTCTAGACCATAGACCCTAAACACCTAACTAAGCCCCAAAGCCTAACACCATAAACCCGTAGGTATGCCGTTGCGATGTGGAGCCTTGCCGGCAAGACCACGAGATCGACACCTGCACCCTCAGGGTTTAGGGCGTACAAATCCTAAACTCCAAACATCAGATCCACCGGTTCTCAGCCTCAGCGGTTAAAGGTTCGTCTAAAGTTTAGGGACCTCGGCGGCGTCCTGACACCGCAATCCGTGGGACCGGGCAGCCAGCTAATTGAAGGTATTTGTAGCCTGACATACAACTGCCCGTGAAGCCTTAAGACCCTTTGAAGCCCGCTTCAGAGTACCGTAGACATCCCCATTCCTCATGTCTGCAGTCGCAAGGACACAGCAAAGATCGCAGAGGAAGTAAAGGTGGGGTCTCGTTCCTAGAGGGTCCGAGGACCTAAACTGTAGCGGCATGACCTTAAATTATGTGGGTATCCTTGCTATGATTCAAGGTATTCCTGTCATGTTTAGGGGTTTTGGAGTCTCTGGATACCTTGTTTGCGTTCGAGTAGCTTCGCTGAGGCGTCGCCATGTCTAGGAGGGATGTGAGGCAACCTCGAAAGGTGTTCCGAAACATAGTAAAGCAAAGTCACGCAAATATGGCTCTCATAAGCATACCGGACACATACCCCTGCGAACTGCTGGAGCCTTCCTAAAGAGGGCCTGTGTGTGTTTAAAGGCTGGCAACACATACCCCGAAACATATCCACTCCATTATCAAAATCCCTTAATACAAGATCCTTAAAAACCCTTTGAGCCGTTCCAAACACTATTGCGATACCTAGTATACAGGCCCCTATAGTTTCCCGAAGCCATCTTAGAATTCTATACGAACTTCCTACAACCATGGAATCATACAAGCCACAAGTAACCCTAAATCCTAAGCTCTACCTAAGCCCCGAAACCCTTAAGCCGCGGCCTGTAATCCTAGAGCATCCTAAAGCCCTAAATACACCCTAAAGCCGCCATGAAACCCTAACACCCTAAAGCCCCACGTGGAGGTTTATGGGTAGTTATAAGTAGGGTTATAAGTAGGGTAGCTATAGTTATAACCTCTATTAAGGAACTCATAACTCCAGTTATAACTACCCATGAACCTCCAAGTATGACCCCTTATAGGACCCCTTATAGAACCCCCTTATAGATCCCTTAAAGGAGCCTTATAACTACCCATGAACCTCCAAGCAATGACACCCTAAACCCGAAGCCCCAAACCCCAAACCCTAAACCCTAAACCCTAAACCCTCAACCCTAACCCCCAAACCCCAAACCCTAAACCCTAAACCCTAAACCCTAAAACCCTAAACCACTTTAATTTTCCTTTCGGCCAGGCAGCTGGCAAAGGAGCGAAGAAGGCCATGGAGAAGGCCAAGGCACGAGATGTTCGGCGTAATGGTGAGAAGCTTACTTGGAGGTTCATGGGTAGTTATAAGTGGAGTTATAAGTCCCCAAATATAGGTTATAACTATAGTTACCCTACTTATAACCCTACTTATAACTACCCATGAACCTCCAAGTAATGGCGCTTTAGTGAAGGAATGATCCTTCCACTGCGATATGGCTTAATCGGGTTCCGGGTATATGTCTGACTTCAGGACTTTAGAGGTTGCTGTTTTTTTCTGCAGCCTTTCTGTACCGGGCTTCTCTGTGAGAGGGCTGTAGCGCATAATAGGGTCTTGAAGAGCCCTCGCGGGAACCACAAGGCCAACCATAGGCTTCAGTCTCAAGTTTGCGGAGTTTAGGGTATACCTTAAGAACCCAAAACCTACTTTTTTGTAGGTTCCCTATAAATCCCATATTAGGGTTTATAATCAGAACCTACAAAAAAGTGGGTTTTGGGTTCTTAAGGTAGGGTGATGCACGGTTTGGGAAGTTTGGGATTCTGCGATTTAGCAGCGATTGAGGCTCCTAATATAAGGCTTCAGGGTTTTAGGTTTTCACAGGCAGAGCTTTCAAAGCGCGGAGAACAAAAAGACAGGGCTGATTCCTTGAGCTCAGAACAGGGTTCTTGTTGAGGAAGTTCGTCAAGGTACGTTTTCCTCAAGCTTACAGAGCCCATAGAAACCTTGCAAGCACCTGCATTATATGTATACAGTTTGCATACACGTATACATATGCATACGCGCATACAAAAACGTATACATTGACATACACAACCACATCATATACATATATACACAAAACATGTACATCCACGTCTGCATGTGTATATATATATATATACATATGCATGCACTTATATACAGAAACATGCGTTTACAGAAGAGCCTGATGAAGCAACACGGAGCAAGTGGGAGCTAGGATGACCCTTGGGGATATAGACCCTCTCAATAAGGTCCCTTTCAAGAGAGCCAAAAGTAGGGTTCGGAAGGGGTACCCTTAAACGCTAAACCCTAAACCCTAAACCCCTAAACCCCTAAACCCTAAACCCCTAAACCCTAAACCCTAAACCCCTAAACCCCTAAACCCCCAAACCCTAAACCCTAAGTCCTAAGTCGAGGAGATGGACGAACCCTAAACCTAAACCCCAACCAATACTACCTAAGGACTTATAAAACTACCTAGCAAGATGCTGGTCGAGGAGATGGACGAGAAGATGACGGAGCTCTACGAGTCCACCAAAGCCGCGACCAAGTCGGCCGCTTCCGAGGCTGGAAGCGGGGGTTTCTCAAGAGTTTAGGGTTTAGGGTTTAGGGTGCATGTGGTCTATTGGGGCTTGGGGCTTAAAGAAAACCCGTTTTTTCTTGAGGGTTACTTATCATATTTATACTATAATATACCCCCCCCCCCCAATACCCTTTCTAAGCCAAGTTCGGGGGTGAACCCCACACTCCAAGGCCCTGGGATGGCTGTGATGAGCTGGGCATGGCTGGGTGGCCGTTGTCTTGTGGTGCCCTAAACATCAGAAACACCCCGGTTTAGGGTTATGGTAGTTAGGGTTTAGGGTTTAGGGTTTAGGCCTCAGGGTTTAGGGGTTTAAGGTTTAGGGGTTTAGGGTTTGGGGTTTAGGGTTTAGGGTTTAGGGGTTTAGGGTTTGGGGTCTAGGGCCCCCATCGATCCTAAAGCTCTCAAAGCCCGGGCCTATCTTCAAAGTAGTCAAGCCGGTCGTAGATGTACAGTGGAGGCGTGCCTCGGTCAGAGGTAGGCGCCATGCATGAAACTTCCGTTGCCGACGTACTGAGATGGAATCCTAAATCTTCCAAAAGGAGCCTGCTAAATCGTAATGAAACCGGTTAACTGAGATGAAACGCTTTAAGGAGCCCTTAAAGGAGTGTTAAGGGTGCCTAAAGGGCTTAGTAGGGTTCTATACAGTAATACCCAGAGCTCTGTTCATGGTTTTCCTGGGTTCGCACGGCTCGAGCACGTTCCTTGAGCTCGTCGGGCGAACCTGACGCCAGCTCCTCCCTTAAAATGAGCCAAGACGAACCCATACCCCTCCAGAAACAGTTCCGTTTAAGGTTTGGGGCTTTAGCGTTTAGGGTTTATGGGTTAGGGTTTTAAGGTTTAGGGTTCAGAGCCCCCAGCCAAGCAGAAACAGCAAAAAAGTTAACCCTAAACCCTAAACCCTAAACCCCTAAACCCTAAGCCCTAAACCCTAACTAGGGATCCTTCAAAGGGGGCTTGGTTTGCCATGGGTGCCTTCGACTTCCTGCTGGATTGCAACCAGCCACCTATCTCTGAAGAAGAGCTGCTTGGCACTGTACCCCCAAACCCTATAGTATCCTTATGGAACCCTTAAGGGAACCCTCAAAGGATCACTAATATTGATTATGTGAAACAGAGGTACTACTGTACCTTAAGCAAGCATCGATCCTCGCAACACCCGTTTGGACTCTTCAGGACCTTAATAGAGGAGCCTAAAAAACTTCCTACACTATTTCGGGGGGCTTCCCTATTATAACTATGGTATTATGGGCCCCAAACCCCTGTAGTTATTAAGGTCCCCTACATTATGTTCAATTAGCCGCAGCTTGCGTGATACTAGGGGCCTCCAGTCGGAGATATGGGCAGTTCTCTAACTGAGGATCCCTTTGAGGGTCCTGTTGTTATCCAGGTGCCGTTGTATTTTGGGGGTCAACAAGCGGACCCTAATTTAGGGAACTGCCCATATAATGCAGCACGGAAAACAAAGGTTCAAACCCGCAGTACACCAATATTTTCTTGATCGACGAAAAGCCTCCCTGATATCTTCGAAGCCTCAGCTCCATGCCAACCCCCTAGCTGATAGTAAAAAACAAAGCATGTTAAGTCGTATCCGCGGTCCTACTACTTTGAGGTGCATGGGTAGTTATAAGTGGAGTTATAAGCCCACTGATATAGGTCATAACTATAGCTACCCTACTTATAACCCTACTTCTAGCTACCCATGAACCTCCAAGTAAGTCTTGAGGTGTGTTCCTTAAGTCACCCTCAACCCGAAACCCGAAGCCCTTAACAACTTTTGGGTTTCCGGGTCAAGCTAAAAACGCGCTTTACTGTAAACAGAGGTCGTAAAGCTCTAATCCTACTTTGGGCCCTTAGTAATTAGAACAGGGCTTGGGGGCGGTATATTATGCCATAGTCATAAGAAGGAACCCCCAAAACCCTATTCTAATTAGTAAGGCCTCTAGATTATAGAACTCCTGTAGTAACCCTTATAGTAATTATCCTTTTTTAAAGGAACCCTTTAAAGGAGCCCTATTCTAGTTACTGAGGCCCCTACATCACATTCTGAACCCCTTCTTGAAAACATCTCCGGATGTCTGGGAGCCTGGATTTCGGACTCGAGGGGTAGCGGTTGGAGGGTTTTCGGCTTTGTCTAAGGGCTTTAGTTTAGGGTTTAGGGTTTAGGGTTTAGGGCTTTAGGAGGGACCCTTAATAGGGACCCTTGTAGGTTATTGGGGTTAATATGAAGACTACCTGGCTATACAAGGGGTATATAACGACCGTACAATGGTTAGTTAAGGTAATGGGATTAGGGGTCCCTGTTAGGGGTCCCTCCTAAAGTCCTTAGATTTGGGGCTTAGACTACAACGCTAAACCCTACTATCGGGGCTTCAATAATTGGAGTAGGGTTTGGGGTATATTAAAAAATAATTATCATAAGGACCCCCAAAACCCGATTCTAATCATTAAGGCCCTTACGTTAAGCCCAGCAAAAGCACCGAGGTTGTGGGATGTGCAGCAGATTGGCCGGGAACTGAAGAGTCTTCGAGGCTACTTGGAGAGGGAGTTCGAACTTCTGCGGAATCAGAGTGCACCTTGGATTTACAGTAGAAGCCCGAAAGTTGGAAACCCAATAGCCTCAATCCTTAAGAGTAATGTATAGGGAATCCCAGCACTATCTGTCGTTAATCCGGTTTCCAACTTTTTGGGGTTTGCTATGGTGGGTCGAGGGTTTGGGACTTAGGAATTTAGGCCTTCAGGTTTGGTACAGGGGCGTTTTGTATAGTGGCTTTTACCCTTAGGGGCTGGGTAGGTAGCAATTAACTTTTTGGGGCGTATATATAATCCTACTATAACTCCAAAGGTTAATTTTTTGGGGCTAAGGTACTCGGCCCCTAAGTTACGGGTTTGATAGGGTGTTGGGCTTTGGGGTTTGGAATTGTGTTTTTTTGGTCTTGACTCTCGAGCCCCTTCTCTGGGCCCAACATGGAAGGAGCGACCTCAACCCAAATCAGAAACCCTACTTGGAGGCTCATGGGTAGTTATAGGTAGGGTTATAAGTAGGGTAACTATAGTCATAACCTGTCTTCGGGGACTTTTAACTCCACTTATAGCTACCCATGAACCTCCAAGCAAGCCTAAACCCAAAACCCGACTCTAAATCCGAAACCTAGAACTGGGGACCCTCAAGCTTTGAGACCTTAGGCCTTGAATCCTAGGCCACTTATCCATTACAGGAGCGCCCTGTTGTGAATCCTGATAGCAAGCCCTAAAAGGAACTCTAGACCACCCTAAACCCTAAACTCCGAGCCCTACACCATAAAGGGAACTCTAAGCTGAGGTACAGGAACGCTGTTCTGCAGTCTCTCGTCCTCCTCTTGGCTTCGTCGTTCCAGATGCCCGGGTACCCACGAAGGACACTTAGTGAGAAGGCTGAGAAGGGTTGAAGGTTTAGTTTGTAATGTAGGGACCTTAATAATTAGAATAGCGTTTGGGGTATATTATGCTACAATGAAAAAATTACTCTAGTTATTGAGGCCCCTACGTTAGGTTTTAGCGCCTAGGTGTTCAGGTTTAGCTTGGCGGTTTAGCTGACTCGCTGGATAAGCTTCTGGACAATATTAGACTCTGGTTTACTTTACTTGCCATTGCTAAGCCCTCCACCCGAGACTTTCTTGAACTAGTAGTAAAGTTGCTTCATGCACGCTTCCCAAACAGCTCAACAAACAAGGATGTGTGCATATTCCATAATATATATATATATATGTATATATATATTTATATTTATATTTATATTTATAATTAT